ACTCACATCACAACGCTGTGTGTCGCATTTCTTTGTCATTAGTGTTGATCCAAAGTTTTTGTTCAAAACCCATCGAATAAAACGAAATTGTTGATGGTAAAGAAAAGATCTTGGAATGTACATCTTCTAATACCTCATTCGTTTACAATGTCAAACTCCTTATGAATCCATTCTTTCTAAAGTTTTCTTCGATAGGTCTTTGCCATAACACGTCGTAGATTTTCGAAGGATTGTTGAAAATGTTTTACACCAAAGGGATCTAAATCGTTAAAGGTTATGCTTGAGAATTGTTCTTGAAATAAAGCCCCGTGGATGTAACCATAACCCTCAAACCGACTCACCGCAATCTTTTGAGTTGCATTCCTTTTGTTCCTCTGCTGGTCCAAGATTTTGCTGAATACATGTTGGCCCACCGCCAGACGGCGGCGGATTGGTACAAGTCCGTTTTCGTGTCTGAACTCCACCACCACATGTCACGCTACATTCTCCCCATTTGGACCAATCAGTATAACCACCAGGTATGGCTGAGGAAAGTAATTTGTTCAAACGCGTAATGCTAGTCAAGACCTTATTGATCAAGCACCTAAAGCACCTATAAGTGGGTGGATTAATTCTATCTAGAAATGCATGTTGGTCCTTCCTTCATTGGATTTCCATCTAAAAGCGGACATGTGTCTGTTCATTACAAAGATGTTAAACATTACCTAACGTAAACGCAGCTCGCATTCATGCTACTTCAACTTCCAATATAAAAATAGAATCTTCTTTTGTAACAATTTAATTTTCCTGCTACGTAACCGAAGTGTTGAATGCAAATATTAATAGCATACTCACTGCGCACAGTTTGGATATAATATTTAAGAACAAGAAAAATTTTGGTGTATCTGCGTGTATAAAAGTTAATACGTCATGCTTACGACAGTCTCGGGTGTTACATTCTTCGGATTCCATATCAGGACCCAAATCCTGTTCAATACAAGTTTTTCCTTTGTTTTTCGGTGACGGGTTGGTGCAGGTTCTTGAATGAGAACGACTTCCCCCACCACAAGTTGCTGTGCATTCACTCCACTCAGACCACCCGGTATATCCTCCATCAATGTCTAAAAATACAGCAGCAGTCAAATATTAAGATCATTTGCGAATTTCCCGGTCATCTCCTGCTCAAGGAATCATTTTGTTTTTTATATAAAGAGCTGCAGGAAACGCGGTGGCCCAGTGACTAGTGCGCTGAACCCCAGCCGGAGGTCGAGAGCCTGATGAAATGCTGGGGGTAACCTTACGCTGAACTAGAATCCCATCCTAGGAGGGATTTGGTCACTCTTAGTGGTTTCATGCTAAGGAAACCGTGATAAGCTCTGGCTGGCCATGCTGGGCCATCGGGCTTGAAGAAAAACTTCACTTTTAATAAGCTATCATAAGATAGTCCTGTAGCAAATAATCTAGCAAATACCATTTAGTTGCCGCCACTTTCCCGTGGAAAGTTAGGATGAAGCCGGAATAGTGTCTTTTTCTCGGTGGCGTGGTGTCTCCCAAAACTACATCCTCAACATCAGAATTTGTCTTTTAGTCAATGTTATAGGATGTAGCAGTAAGAGCAGACGGAAAAAAAATAATTTAAGTCCATTCATCTTTATTTAATTGAATTAAAATGACACTTACTACAAGTAGCCTTGCGAATATCGTCCAACTGGTTGTTTAAGTCTTCAAAATTTTTGGCATTAACCACTCGATTCTCGTCTCCAGCAATAGTTATAAGCTCTGCCTGCTTAATTTTTTTACCTATTCCCACAGCCACGCGATGTACTCCTTTTTCCTGCGTGGAGAGATTGCTCTTATGAGCCTTATTTTTCGTCCCTCTTTCTATCAATTGCTTTTTAGCCGTTATATGTGTGATTATAAGGTGACAAACTGACGTGGGACAGAAATAAGAAGCAAGATAGAGCTTGCCATAGCATCTGCAAAGTGAAAAATTCTGACCAGCAATGAATTGATCTTAAATGATAAACTGCTATTAAAGCCTGTCCATCGAACATCGTCTACAATAACGCGACCAGGTTTCCTTTTTCATGGGGAACAAGAATCCAACTAAATTTGCCTTGCACCCAAGCACCGACTCAGTACTTGGAATGCGAGGCCTTAATACTCGCTGAGGTTTTATTTTTTCTTTTTCAGACCAGTTACATGAGTAAATTGCTGTTAGTCTGTGAAGAAGAAATTTTCAACTGTTTCCTCAGCTACAAGTCACTTTATCATTTGTACAAGTTGATAAAAACGATTAACAAAGAAAATCCCAAGCTATCTCATTGGAGAGATGTAAACAATCCACAGTCGACTAATTACTACCTTTTAGCTGATGGGAAGCTACGACGTGATGTTTTGACCTTGCCATGGCGCTTGCAAAAGGCAAGCGATGAACAATCATTAGAGGAAGTAACACAATAAAAAGTAAATGAATATTCAATAATTCTTTCCAGTTGATTTGGGGTATTGTATACAAGAAAATGCAATGGGCCGCTCTCCAACGCCGTTCGTCACCATTTGTATGTGAGTCGAACTGACGAGATTTAGACTGTCAGTTTCACGGTCTCACCTCAAGAGTTGGTAGCACGGTACTGTAAGGCTTAGAACTCTTATGTGTTCCTCCATCAGTGAAGATGATCATGACGTTCGGTGATTCCGGTCGATCTCCATTCTTTTCGTTGAAAACGTCCTCGCCGACCACTTTCAAGGCGTTGTCAGTCCTCGTCGGGTTCCCCAACTTGTCCTTCTTCTTCATTTTTTCAATCAGTGCACGAAGGGCCGCTTTATTTTGATGTTTTAGGTTGTCAAAGCTGACACGAACTTTTGCGCCTTTTGCATAAGTTACGATGGAGAAGTGTGTCTTTTCTTCACCGATATCATACTGCGAAATGAGTGCCATGACCGAGTCCAACATGGCGTCATAGTTGTCCGCTCCTACGCTCTTTGTTTGATCGATCACGATAGATATGTCTAATGGAGGATTCTCACAATCGGATGAGGCGGCTAAGTAAAGAGAAAAATGCATTAAAAACTCATCTTTGGTGAACCTTTCAATGAAGTGACCTGTAAGAAATCAATCTCTTTGCCCAGCATACTTTACCAAAGATTTCTTTCAATTCAGGGCTATAAACCCGGAATACATGGAAGCCTAGTATCTCTCTCATAGAATATATAAGATGTGAAAAATCGTTCTTTCCAGATCGTTAACTGAAGTGAATCGAACGTCATTGCAGAAGAAGGCTTCGACGAGTGTAGAGCCAGTACCTACATATGCCGGTTAGTTGAGCGCTTCTGATTACTGAGCTAAGAAACCAGTTTTGGGAATTTATGTGAACTTTTAGAATTCTGACTATAGATAATAACGTATTTTTTATCATCAAAGGTGAGAGGAACCTATTATCATAGTGGAATGGATTATAACCTTATTACCTTGAGAAAGATTCATTGCAGCCAACACGATAAGCCACAAGCCAATAATGTCCTTGCCTGCGGTTGGCATCTGTTGGAAAATGAAAGGAAATCATCAAATCACTGTACTACAAAACTACTTTCTGTTGATATCATTTTTAAACGTAACATACATGTATTATCAATCCTTGATCCTTAGAGAGTAAAACAAAATATATTATTTTTTTAAAGTCACAAAGGGAAAGAATGAAACCAAATTGCTACTCCTGAACGAGCAGTGAAGGGGGATTCTGCTTAGTTCATCAGATACCAATACAAGGCCCGTGCATGTTCATGCACTATTCTTAAATTTAACTTAGATAAAAAAGAAACCTCCTATTATGTGCATTTTTCCGGTCTACTTGCCCCCCATCTCGACAGGCTTCGAACTGGCCAACACATCACCAATGCCACGTAACTCGTTTAATTCCATACAAGACGGTGATCTGTCGATTGATCTTTTGCTGAATCTCTAAATTATAAATTTCACGGTACAGATTATTCTACTCGTTTTGGTTTTCATACTGCTAAGTTCCATTTGATGGAATTTTTCTTTGTATTCAGACTTTGTACTTTTGAGCTTTTCTCTTTTGTGTAGACCACATCAGTGCATTTCTTTTAAAAACTGAGGGGTAAAACTTTAATATAAAACTGCGACTCAAGTGTTTTTAGACGATAAGCGACGAAATTTAAGTCAAATTATATTATTTAAATTGTGTTGGCTTATCCAATGATTTTTCTTTTATATCTTGCTTTGGCAATATTCTTGCTTCATAATGAAAAATACCATCCAGACCTTAATCTGACATGTCACCCTTTAAGCTTCTCCCGATTACAAAGTCACTCTTTGTACATTGAATCTTGCTAAATAAAATTTACTCAAAGTACAACATCGGACATAACTTCTTCGAAGGAAGCGATAAATCTTACCTTGCCGATTCTTCCAGCGCAGCCGGATAAATAATGAAGGCTTTAGAAGTGTATACAACTTTTAAATGGAAATAAAACTACAAATTACTCCCACATTCCAAACAACTGCAACCCGACGTAGCGCAGAAACCTAGAAACTCCACCCTTCATTGTTGACAGACTGACAAAATGATTTATTTTTCCGTAAGAACTAATAACAACATTGTGGAAAGTAAAATTCCACAAAAAGATATTCAGTAACTTTTTATCTTTTTAACGGTACATTGATTCCTAGAACTAATTTGCAACACTTGGAGATAAATTCTCAGTAGTTGAATTTCTTTGTTTCACATTGTTGAAATATTGATTTAAAAAGTCGGCCTCCCATATTGTGTGAAAACGCCGCTTATTTGTAATTGTTTGAACTTGTAACATTTGCGTAGAAACTAGGAACAATCTCTGTGTCTCGTTCGTCTCGATCAAAAGATATTTCGTCGATGTTGAGGATTATGAGTAGAAACTTATGAATTTCGTAACTACGTCAATTTCAACGCCTCTAAGTAAAGAATCGTAATTTTATCTTAAAAAGAAGGTAAGTTTTAAACTCCCAGGATCCAATTGGTAGCACCCCCCTCCAAATGCTGTGCATTTCCTTATAAATTACACAGGAGGATTTTTTGTTACGTAAAGTTAGCAGCTAACAACAGATAAAACAATCTATTCTCATAACCTTGGAATCACAAGGAAGAGTTGAAACGATGAACAACTCTAGACATAAAAACCTAACATTTTGACTACAATACTATATAAGCAATGCCAAATAACAAAAGGTGACAGCAGACTTGACACAACTGCTGAAAAGCGAGTGAAAAATGTGCCATAACATCAAAACTCCATTGTCTTTTGTACATCAACATGCACGGAAAAAATTTCATAAAACTGAATGTCCAGGACCTGAATAATTAAATGATGATCAAAAAAGTGACTTCTTTAAAACCTCTTTTAAACTGCCTTCAGCTGATTGTTTTAACCCTAAACGTAAAACTGAGAGCCGTTAGAATAAGCCTACGTACAAATAGATACGGGATCTTGGAAAGCGAATCTTCAAGAAACATTGGACAATTTCCATTTTGTTATTTTGTGTGCGGTATCTAGATCTGAAATTAAGAAGAAAACTGCCCATACTAATTCAAGAATACCCCAGCCTTGGTATGTCTCAGATAACAATTTGCTTTCGTTTGGACAACGTGGCGGTCCATCAAGACCTTAAAAAAAGGTGAATTAAAAAAAATGGACTGAAAAGGGACTTGAATTGAATCACAAGCTTCTGATTGTTTAAGATAAATACAGTTTTCAGGTAATTCAATGCAGAAGATAGTTAATTCAATGCAAAGAAGTAACAAACCACACTGAAAAATTCCTCTAACTGTTTAGCTGAACTTTGAATTTTTTTGCGCCGTAAAGATGTGAAAATATCATTGTATATTATTGTTTTGATCGTACGCGGTTGTTTTGATCGAGCGCACAATGTCACTTACGGGATTTGAATAAATTATTTTTGCACTTGGTGCGCGCGTTTGCCTCTGCATAATTGTGATAAGCTATCTTGTATTTTTGTCATGTATATTATTAATACGTAATCGTATGATTTTTCTCGTACAGTTTGGAATAAATAAGCACTTTTAACTTTTTCAAAGACCACAAATTTTGTTAGTCTGAAAAAATTTACTCGTGCTTAGTTATTCCAAATTGCACTCGAAGTCACGTGATTACCTATACAAACAAGATCGTCCTCAGCAAAGACCGCCGGTTCCTTTGTTTTTTGTACTTGGCCAGCGAATCTATGCATTTCGAACTCAGTAATAAGTCGTTTAAACCTCTGCAAAAAAGTGAATTTCAGAGCCTTTTTCACTTGCAACTTCAAGATTTATTTCTCCCAATCACTAGCTCATATAGCTCTATGTAGTATTTACTATATACTTTATAATATAGATTATAGATTATATTTCCCATTTCCATTGAATTCCTCTTGTTGACTGATATTTTCATGATCGGATAACCTGAAATCTGAAATTCAAATATGGAGAAAGAGAATTATCAGTTATTCGTAACTAACAAAAAGGAAAGGCTGAATCGTCAACAAACTGCCAAGGTCGAAAACAAATGATCTGAGTGCCTCATAAAAAGTAGTTTTGCGACCATGAAACATGTACTAAGTCGGTATTTCATCATAAACTCTAATTAAGGGGGTTTACATTCTGACTCTTTTGCAGTCGGCATGAAAAACCTCTGATGTGTACATCAAAAGTTGACGTGTAAGTGATGTATGCCAAATTACTTGCACCCACTCACGAAAAAGTTGTTAGACACAAACGTGATCACACGACAATAGCGTGCAGACGTGCAGACGACATTCAAATTCGATTTATTTTTGTGATACATATGCAATTACCAAATTTGTGCGAGTGAGAAAACGTTTGCGGCTAGAATAATGCGGGGTTTCGCTTTGGCTGAGTGAGTCACCAGACAGCTTTCCGAAACGCAAACGCATTGAACATTGAACTCAAAATTCCGTTGGAAAATTTAAGATGACGGCAGCTTGGCGCTCTATCCCAGAGGAATTCTCAACTGCACCTTCACGAATCTCATTAAAACACTAAGCAGTAAAAAATTGGAGTACGTGACAGAAAATTGGGTTTAAATTTGGAAGAGAGTTTCATGAGTTGTATAAATAATTATACAACTTTCAATTCTTTTTCCACCAGGAATTCTTGTCGCGCGGTTTAAAAGTCGGAGGTTTCTTTCTCTTTCCCGAAAAACTTACATTGAACCAAGGAAAAGTTAAACCTTCACTTTGTTTATCAGATACAGCTTTTTAGGCTCGAATGCACACGGTCGATACTGAACTATTTTATTTAAGTAATATGGATTATACATTACGATGTAATCACTATAGTCCACGGTCAGTTTTTTTTCATCAACGTCCAAAGCCGAATCCACCAGGACGGCGGCCGCCACCGTATCCGCCAGGACGACCGCCTCCGAATCCGCCAGGACGACCGCCTCCGAAGCCAAAACCGCCGCCTCCATGCCCGCCGCCGTGACCACCGCCACCATGACCGCCGCCTCCATAGCCGCCACCGCCACCATGACCGCCGCCTCCATAGCCGCCACCGCCACCGCCTAAGATAAAAGAGTAGTAGATTAAACTGAATTAAAAAAGTAGTAATGCCCAAAATGATAATGAATACTTCCTGAATTAGCCATTTTCTTGTATGTTCGATGGATGACTGCTACTTTTACACATCTGTAATTTTTTCGCTACCGCAAATAAATGTCGCGAAAGCAATTGGCATACCGCCCGATGATAATCATATTTTGGTTAGCTTAATATTTTTTTTCATAAAACCAACTTTGCTTTTATAAAGGTCGAACGCGGGATTTAAAAGAATTAATCACATGCTCTTGTACACAGAAGAGAAAGGGTTGCAAAGCAATGGTGAAATTTTTTAGGATTACAGTTTACAGGAAATGTTCTTTGTGTATTTTGCGGTTACAAACCGTTGGATGGAACATGATGTCCATCTCTCTCTGACACTGTCCCACCAATCTGTCGATTTGACAAAGAGGTGCTTTGATTTCAGTCATAAGTAACACTGGGGCAAAAAAGGATCGATAATTTAATACTCCGGGAAAGTTTTACAGTTCCACAAACCAGATTTATTTATCGAAGGGAGAAGAAGGAATGAATTTCGACAAAAGTTTGTCATTTCGGAAATGTCCCCTAGGTTTTATTTGCTGTGACAGCCACAAATTAAAAGGGGCTTTTTGTTTCATATATCACGAGGGAGTCGTAATGGTATGAGACCAATATTTACCTCCGCTGCAAAGTCCACAGCTTTTCTGGCACATTCCTGAAGGAAGAAGAGAGACCAGTCAAGAGAATGTTATGGGACTGGTATTAATATTACAGATATAGTAAGTGATCTAAAGGTTTCCTCCCAACAAAACAGATTCCAGGGCATATTAAACCACATGAAATCGCTTGGTTCAAGGAGTTGAAAGAACTGTGACACTCGACACGCGATTAAAGGAAAACTATGCTCTAAAAAAAAAACATTTTGATTTCAGCGGTGAAAAAGTAAATTAGATATCAAGACATCTTTGGAGTTTTAAAACACCAAAGTGTAACTAAATCAAACGGAAAATGTGTTTAAGTGTACGGAAGATTCGATAAAATCAAAAATTGCCTAACAGATTGGCCGCTTACTTATGACGTATCAATATTAGTTCTAATTTTTCTCATCTCTCCTATTGGGCTTTCAAATGAGGAATTCTTAACTCCCAATAACCAGAACTGTTCAAGAACCTCGCGCAGTTTTATCTGTTTGTGGACTTGAGTAAATTTTACGGGAAAAATCAAAATCAAGAGTGATTTTCAGTTCTGGATCAGCGAACTAACAGCACCTTGTGTTAAAAAAATAAACGTATTGTTGTAACATATGGCCCAAGAAGGTGTTTTTTCGCGGCCTATGTTTCCCCTTCACTTGTATGGTGACCGATAATACCACACGGGGACTGTCTTGATTTAAGCTTAAAATTCGACCGACAGCAACATTTGATATTACGACTTTTGCCTTAAGGGGTGAACGTTGGGCAGCTTATTTGAAACTGCAATAGATGCATCTGTTAGTGAGGAGGAGAACTCGGCCAGAACTCATCGTTACTGACCTTTCACAAAAGAGTTACCGCAACCTGGAAACCGGACTTTCCCTAGGCATACTATGCCCAGTTGATCCTGGCACACTACAAGATGCAGGTAAACAATAAAAAGAGGCAGGTAAACAAGCAAAGGAAATTGTAGTTACTAGAACATAAACGCTGAAAATATAAAGGCATTGATCGAGTCCACTTTGCTACCCATTGGGTGGTTGATGTGGAGTGGCCACAGAGGCTCCAGTGTTTTACCACTTGGAGTAAGGCTTGATTGTAGGATAAATTCGTTTTATTTTCATTGCATTTTACTACATAACAAAGTTATGATAAAGGAATGCAGTGATTTTTACATCTGAGTTCTTTTCAATCGTTGTTTTCATACGCACAGCTTCATATAAATAAGAAGAATACAAGTGTACTTGTGATGAAATAATTGGAAGCAGGCGAGTTGCTGCTTCCAATAAAATAATATTATGAATTCCTACCTCCTCCTCCTCCTCCTCCTCCTCCGCCGCCGCCGCCGCCGCCGCCGCCGCCGCCGCCTCCACTACATTTGCCACAGCTTTTCTTACACATGTCTGAAGGAAGAAGAAAGACCAGTCGGACTAGTCATTGCATTCGCAATTCAACACAATATCAAATCCAAATGCTAGCCTGACAAAGCTAGTGTCGATCAAATTAACCTGTTAATCCTCACGATAAAAAAGTAAAAGGGACAAAATAAAAATAATAAAAAACACTCTTGTTCATTCGTTTTGTATTAGAGCTGCCGCTTTTTTCCGACTCCGATTTAAACCTATGCAGCAGTGTAATCTTTTCTGTAAGTCCAGAATCATTTCTACCGCCAAATGCCGTAACAATTCGAAGGACTGGTGACCTTGTGTCTAAAGTAGCAGACGACAAATGATAAAAACCTTCGTCCTCGGCCATTATTCCGGTGACAATGCTAACATTCTTAACTCCTAAAAAGGTCTCGCAGTTGTCCCAACTTATGTCAAACCTTGATGAACTCTTAGCCGATGAGCAAACATAGCCAGTTACGGTCGTGACTACATAAAGGATCCCTATGTGTTCTTATTCAAGAACAATTGTTCGAGTTCAAATGCTCAGGGGCTTCTTTAATCAGTAGCTCCTGTAATTATAACCTGTCACTTCATGTCACTCCCAGCTCCGGAAAATTGTTTGATTTTAACTAGCCTTCGTTCCGTGGAATCAAGGGACAAGAAGTCGCAACATTCCTCCGCTTTCTAAATGTGCATCTTCAAGTAGCTTTTATTGTATTTAAGGTTTCATTGCTTACCTCCAAGACTGTACCTTTGAAACCCGCCTTGTGTCCATGAATAACCACATTTCCTCGAATTGCGGTGAGCTACTGACCACCAAGGACAAACGTAGGGATCACTATCTTGGCATGAGGTATCAACTAAAGAGAAGAAAAAGACGTACAGAAGTTAAAGAATGAAACAAGTGGAATAGTAAGGGGACGAAGAAGAAAAAGAGGAGGAGGGAGGGGATGGTAAGTAACATACACGTAGAATATCAAGGGTTGGAAGGAAATTAGTGAATTAAAATAAGATAAAGAAAAAGGAAAAATTTAAAGAATGAAAATAATAAGACTAAAAAAAGGGGAGAAAGCTAAATATGGCAATTTTTTGCCTTTTTACTCATACCATTGCATCGTCTGCAGCTCTTTGGACAAGTGTTCCACAAAGGAAACGTCCTGCCAACGTAGAGCAAGCGTTGACTGGAAGGTACATTAGCGGTCCTCCAGCAGTCTCCTGCAGCAGCTCTGACTGCACAATTTCCTGCATGGTCTTCACAAGGCTCTAAAGAATGATCAATTAAAAAACTAGATCGTCACTGAAACTACACTTACTGCTATTACTACTATCACGACGAAACAGCCAAGTCGTTTGAAGTGGCCTAGCATCAATCTGCTGGCCAAAGTTGATACTCCGGCAGAATTTACGGACTTCAGATGATTAATAAAAGTTTTTTTCGGAACTTTTCATATAACTATATAGTGTATTATGAACTAAACCGCATGGAAGGATATCTATCAGTTTGAATATCTCAAAACTGGCGTGCCGCACCGGCGAAAGCTATATTAAAGCACTGTGTTAACAATGCAGAGTACCTGGAACGTTTTAGCTGTGAGTATTGTCACGATGAATTTTTCCAAAAAATTAGTAAACTGTCTTATTTCTGCTTTTTTACATAAATTCAAACATGGATAACATCCATTAAATATTTGTTTCTATTTTTTACAAAGAAGCATCTACGCGCCATAGAAATAGATCCAGCTTTAGACCAAATGTCAAAACAAGAAGGTTTGAAGTTATCTTTTTGAGAGTTGATTTTTCGATATATCTTAGCTATATAAACTACTATTAAACGGCTAAGAATATATGAAAGTCATATATTTGAACTGCGGATAAAGACGTGAATGAAAGTGATCCTCGCAGTAATATGCACTACTTGAGCAGTAGTGAAAATAAGGCCTGAAAAAAAAATTCATATTTTCAATATTGCTCAAGTAGTGCACATTACTGCGAGGATCACTTTCATTCGCATAAACTACTATTACTACAACTATTACTACTACTACTACGACTACTTCAACGACTGCTAACATCTCTGTCATTGTATATCAGAAATCTTTCATTGCAATAAGTGATGATTATTTTTATAAGGAGAGTCCTTTTCAATCTTTGAAAAGAGAATTTAATACCACTTAAAATACCTACTTTGTCCTGGACAAAGATTGACGGCACAATGCTTCTTTTGTTTCCTCAAATGAAGACTGTTTCCCGGACAACTTCTCGAGCGAACTTGAATTCCGCCACCACAGTTCTTATTACAGCCTCCGAAGGAGCCCCAATTGCCACAATTACCTATTGAGGTAAAACCAAAGTAAAACAGGTGTCATAAACATAAATAAACTTTGTTAATACTGATTTTTTGGGAGAAGCAACGAAATGTATTAATTTTCTAAATAACCAAAATTGTAGCTTAAAAAAAACATTTGCTGAGTCTATATCTAAAAAATTGAACATAATTTAATTCCGATCGATATTACAAAAGAGGTTGATGATAATTGTAGTTTTTGCTGAACAAAGTTAATTTTTTTTAGGAAGTTTAAAGAGGTATTCAGCCGACTACGTTAGACTAAATTAGTTACGGTTGTTGACGATGTCACATAATTTCTTAATTTTACATTACGTTTTTCCATTAGTTCTAGTCAACCAACCTGGATACTGATTCCCACAAGCCAAGTTCATGATGGACTCTAGTTTAGGGATTAACTGTGAGTAGCCATAAACCTGAAGTACATCATTATTGGAGCTCGCAATTTGTCTAAGCTCCGAGATATCTATTCCACTTCCAATTCCGACAGCAATTCTCCTTACGTTCGCATCCTGCAAAAATAGAGAGGTAAGTTTAGGGATGTTTGAAATCCGAGGACTCATTTTTGAAATTGAGATCTGGCCAAATCACCCTTACCCTCACATCTTTTCCTTAAAAGAGTTTTTAGTTAGAGATTGAGTGATTTTAAGAGCTTACATGGTCAGTTTCTCGAGTCTATCTAAGTGTTTCGATCTGCTATTTGAAAGACAACTCACATTCAAAGGAGGAATAACTTGACTGAATGGCTTACTCCCTTCGTTTGTGTCACCATCAGTCAGCACAAGTAGCACATTTGGTTTATCGGGTCTGTCTCCACTATTGTCCCAACCGAAAAACTTCTCCGCAGCTAGTTCTAGAGCCCTGTCTGTTCTCGTTCCACCTTGAATATGCGGCAAGCTTCTGGCTTTGGCTGTTAGTGCATTAATATTTTGCGGATCGGTAAATCTGAAAAGCATTGATGACGGAAATGAGCTGAAGGAAGAGAGTTGTGCGAGTCTTTGGAGGAAAGTGTTATAGTATTAGAGACGTTTTGCTGTAGGAATGTTCAGGGGCGATCGTCTGATGGAGCTGAGCTCATTTTGTTAAGGAATGCGAGGTGGAACAGTTCTTGTTCAAGTGATTGGTGCAGGAGAGAAGAAACAAGTCTAGCTAGTGAAGGACAAGATTAACGCTGTCTATAAATAAGAAAGTTGAAACTGCATGTTAAACAGCTCATCAAATGGACGCTACCACAGAAAGACATTTCGAACCATGAACAATAAAAAGATAAACGACATTCCTAACTGAAATCAGCGCAGATAAATAGCCATTTTCATATAAAAACCGTGTAAAACTTAAGCCTTATGAAAACCGTGACTATTAGAAAACATATGTCCCAGAAAATTATTTCAGGTAGGCTGAAAGTCATTTATTCAATTCCTTTAATTGGCTTTAAGAATAGTTGCAAAACAAATTAAATAAAAAAATGTAGTTTAAAAGAAAAAATGAACCAAATACCTATAGACAATGCCATTTTTATCATCATCGTTACGAACCTCAACAATTCAGTTATCTTATAGTAATATAGTTATTATTAACTGTGCCGGATTGAAATTTACAGGCTCGAGCCCCCTCCCACGAAAACCCACCCTCCCTTCCCCTCCAAAAAATGAAAGTTCAGCCTCAGCTTCAAACCCAGACGTGCTCTGTATGTGGCAAGAATGTACAAACTTGTGCCAGAGATGTGCTTCCCAGCTGTAGAGAAGGATCGCCATATGTGTTCCAGCTTCAGAAACCTCTAGTCTTTGAGCCAGCCGAACTAAGTAATCACGTGCTATTTTATAATCACCAGCACTGATGCTGTTGGAGGAATCGACAATGACACCAACGTCGAGATGTTCCTTACAAGGTCTGGGTGGAGGTGGTTCCGGTTTTTTAGTTGGGCCTTGATGATAAAAAAGGTACGATGAGGTAAATTCCTTGCCATTTCGTCATGTTGATATGATAGTTTATCATAAACCAAAAAAAATAAATGGAAGGGGGCTTTAGAAAAGATGAATTGTAAGCTCAACAGGATGACATGGCAAAAAGGCTTATCATCGCTTCTCCTTCTCCAAGGTTAGGCCTTTGGGGGGGAGTGGGAGTAAAACTAGCTGGGGTCAATACAACCAAAGGTGGTGCAAGAATTGTACGGTTTTAATCTCCCCTGAATTTCATTCCACACAAAACGCACTTTTTAAATTTTCATTGACCCCTTTACATAAATCTTGCTAGGGAATATTCCTAAACTCCTAGACTTACATCTCTAGTTAAAAAAAAAAGTGTAGAACAGTAAATAAAAAATATGAAGGAAATGTTCTTTTGGATTGAATGCGACTGGAGGCGATATATTTCCGCGAACCGTGGGCATATTTAAGGCCTAAAAGACTTATGGCTGTTGCCTTTTATCCAAATTTTCGTTCCCCTTGCGATTTTTTAACTTCGATCTATAATTCGACATGACGAAGTATCAATGCCTTTGAACAGAAAAACATACATGCTTGTGTGTTGCAGGGCTCTTTTTTTGTTTTGCTTCCTGCACAATCTTTACCGTCCCCAGATGGAGGTGGGTTGGTGCATGTTCTTTTTCTCACTCGAGTACCTCCCCCACAGGTCTTATCACAAGGACCAGGGGCACCCCAGGGAGACCAGTTGCCATCTGTACCTGCAAATGATAGCATACTCATTTCATATAGTGGTGCGTCTACAATATAGTACCACAAACTAAAATGACGGCAATGATTGTGATAACATGCATCGAGAATACTATACTGGAAAAAACTGTACCATCATAGAGGTGGTAAAGGTTTTTTTTGAAAGGAAAACCCACTTTCTTGAGCCTTCTACAACATATCAAGAAAAATCATGACTTTAATGAGTAGTTACCTTTCCATTGCTTATGGGTTATGGAAAAGAGATTATAAACAGAAATTGTTAATTTGTTAATTATTCTACCCTACTTTCCACCGGCCATCACATACCACAAGGCTGGGTGTTGCATCTCTTTGTTTCTTTCGCAAGTCCAAGTTTTTGCTCAATACATGTCGGTCCACCACCAGCCGGAGGGGGATTGGTACAGGTCCTTGTTCGTACCTGAACTCCTCCGCCACACGTAACGCTGCATTTTCCCCACGAAGTCCACTTAGTATAACCACCAGGTGTAGCTAAGGGAAAAAAATCAGTTTGAATGATTGTTGTTGGATGAAGCCTTCAAGATAATCCCAGCCCACATTTATGTCTTTTTCTACTAACCGGATGTGTAACGTATAGAAAGTGTACAGTTAACAAAGTTAGCCATTAAAGTACTCAATATCATGCTTACGGCAGGGCTTGGTGTTGCACTTTTCAGATTCCTTGGCCGGACCCAGATTCTGTTCAATACACGTTTTTCCATTGTTTTTCGGTGATGGGTTGGTGCAGGTTCGGGAGTGATAACGCACCCCCCCGCCACAAGTTGCTGAACACTTGCTCCACTCACTCCATTCGGTGTATCCTCCATCAATATCTAAAAATGATATCAAAGCAATAATTCTCAGAATTTAACGAGCTTGGCATACCCAGTGGTTTATACAGCTAACAATAATGTTCGATATCCTCTAATCTTGAACATTCTGGTCCCTTTTTGATTTATGAATAAAGGGGGTAAGTTTCTAAAGAAACTGTGGTGCTGCGTCGGTGGGAGAGTATAACAGGTAATTTAGTGTTAACAACTGAGTTGAAAACGCTAATTGACCACCGTTCTGACGAAGGGCTAACGCTCGAAACGTCAGCCTTTAAACTCTTTACGGTGGTCAATTTACGTTTTCAACTCAGTTGTTAACACTAAATTACCTCCTATTTGATTTATTTTGCATCTTTTGCTATCTTCTACCCATGCAAACTATTTATCCAGGGGTCTTTATGTTTGAGAAGAAAAGAAGTCGAAAAAAGAAAGCAGTTCGACCAAACACGTTTTTTTATTTTCATTCGAGCTCAGATAAAACTTGGGAAAATTTCTGTTTGTTATGAACGGAAAATGTTCCTGAAAATTTACTGAAAGGTTTTTCACGAGATGTGGATTCTGCAGCATTTTCATGCAACCCAATGAAAACTTCTAGCACATACTATAGTTGATGCAGTTATGATATAATTCGATGGAAACTGTATTTTGTAAGTTTACGAAAGTTCTGGAGTACATTATTTTTGTAAATGAAGATGAGGTCATCCTGTAAGGTTGATAGTTGCCGACGGGAGAGACGGACTGATTGAGAAGCTTGTAGAGCTGGTTTGGAATTAGTTTAAATACAAGGATAATAAAAAAGGTTTGGGAGAGAGACCTTCATTGCGACTTTGTGTCAGTGGCGACTGAAGTCTAAGTCAGCAATGGGCGTAGGTTAGACTATCTTTCTAGGAGGTTCTCCCTTGTAATAATCAACTAACGAAGTATAATGGGGGAGATTAGTTGATTTTACTAGGTATTTTTACGACAAATTTTCTGCTGGTAAAAACACATCGTAAGATGTTTCAAAACCTAATATGATTAATTACTTTGAATTTTTAAGCCACCTAAGGAAGTTGTTGGTGACGGTGTAAGATTTGTTCAACCTCTGGATCCATCTGGAAACTCTTTGTTACACAATCAGAATATAATTATAATAAGAATATCAATTGGAAACTTCTGGAGATATCAACCACTAGTGCTCTATCAGGTGTTTTAAATTATCGTTAAAAAAAAATTCTACTTACTACAAGTAGCTTCCCGAATATCGTCCAGCTGGTTGTTCAAGTCATCGAAATTTTTAGCGTTAACGACTCGATCCTTGTCTCCAGCGATAGTCTCCAGCTCTGACTGCTTAATGCTTTTTCCAATTCCAACAGCCACACGTTGTACTCCCTTTTTCTGCGTTGTAAGATTTCATAGGATCACCCCATTAAACCAGAATATTTCATTTGACCATTTTACGTTGTTCAATCAAGAAAACAAAAGGGAGGATACTAAAGCTTACTTATTCATCATGCTGTGTTCTAATATTCCCCGACATAACACAAGTTTATCGTTAAGAGGCTAATTCTTCTTCGAGTACTCTGTACTAGACAAGTGAAATAAATCCTTTTCAAGAAACGGCGTGAATCTGGGAATAGTCTACCCGATGACATATGCATCATATTTCTTTTAAAAGAAATTTAAACAAGACAACTTTCACAATGTCTTTCTTCAAAAACTTTTGGAGGCAAATGATTAAACCGATTTTCTTGATCTTATTAAGAAATTGTCTTGAAAACTCGGGCAATTATATAAATAATTTTTGTAATATTGTTGTTATGATTCATATTGCTGTAATAATTGGCTTTGATCCTTTTAGTTTAAATGATGTAATTTCTTATTTCCCTCTTATTTTTGTTAATACAGTAATTTCATTTCTTTTCTTGCAAAGGTGTATAGCTAGTCACACGAATTTTTCTCGCCTATTTGTTTTAATCGACAGTAATTCATAATTGTTGAGTTGTTAAGACCCATTTACATTAATTTTGAGGTACTTTTCAGTTACTGCAATGCAGTTTTCATTTTTATTGTTGTATTCTTGACAGAAATGTGTTAAAAATTTTGTTATGCGTCAAACCATTGCTTGCCTCGACCAGCCGTAAGCACATTTGTAAGCTTGCAATAAACTTGTAAATGTACCTGTCTCTGGAAAGAGCAGATTCTATCCCTAAAAAGTCACCTTTAAGTTTGAAGACTGAAAGCGGACAAAAACTGAATTAAACGACATATCAGACAAAAGTTGCTGCTCTCACCTCAAGAGTTGGTAGCACGGTGCTGTAAGGCTTAGAACTCTTATGCGTTCCCCCATCAGTGAAGATGATCATAACATTTGGTGATTCCGGTCGATCTCCATTCTTTTCGTCGAACACTTTCTCACCGACCACTTTCAAGGCGTTGTCAGTCCTCGTCGGGTTCCCCAACTTGTCTTTCTTCTTCATCTCTTCAATCAGTGCACGAAGGGCCGCTTTACTTTGATATTTTAGGTCGTCAAAGCTGACACGAACTTGTGCATCTTTTGCATAAGTTACGATGGAGAAGTGTGTCTTGTCTCTACCGACATCATACTGCGAAATGAGTGCCATGACCGAATCCAACATGGCGTCATAGTTGTCCGCTCCTACGCTCTTTGTTTGATCGATCACGATAGATATGTCTAATGGAGGATTCTCACAATCGGATGAAGCGGCTTGATAATTGAAAAAAGGAGAAGAAAATAATAGAAATAGTTATTAATATCGTAGCTTTGATGTGTTTTAAAACAAAATCCATGCCTTGTACCATTTTCGTTTTTAACATCTTGGGATAAATCATCTCTCTCAACCCGTACCTCTACAATTATTTTAGAAAAAGGAACACCTTAACGTAAGCTTCAAGCCATAAATCCTCCTTTATACATAATCGGTCACAAAAGCATTTCTTATCAGCTAGTTTAGAGACTTATCTCCTTCTAATTTGTTAGCACAACAGAAGATTCTCAAAGCAACATACAATTGTATAGATATTGAGCCGGTTTACCTCGGCACAGGACAATATTGAAGGCAGCGAGCGCGCAAAACCACAAGACAGACATTGCCTCGTCTATGGTTTGCACCTGCTAAAATATGGGAAAACAAAAAGAATTAATATTCAGCTTTATCTGCAAAACAACGAAAATTATACTTCACGGTCAAATAGGAAAAAAAAAAAAAACAAACGAAGTAAGGAGACGCGTTACATTGAGCACTTAAATGCAGTTCTTTAACCTTATCACACCTTCAAAAGCTCGTACCATGAGTTACATTTGTAAGCAAAACCGCACCTGTTAGGTGGGCCCTTGAGGGTATGGATCAGTAAGTCATTTGGGAAGCAAATTGGCTGAGCATTATCTAAGACAATTTCTTATCGGTCTTGTCGTCATGTGGTATTTCCCCTTTTTTCCACAGTAATGAGTTCAGTCTTCATTGAGGGTCTAAATGAGGTCATGGCTTTTACGGCTAACGGTTAAAATTTGTGAATTTTCACGTCTTACGGCAATTTTTTTTGTCGTTTTACGGTTAATGGTTGACCCCACTAAGACCATCTGGGCCGGTTATTTAAACGAGATGTAACCCAAACCACGGTTTTCGCAATCAGTGAGCCTCAGGCTCTCTCTGTAGGGCGGTTAATTTTCTTTAATAAACGTCCTTCCTCTGTTAGCTTTTGGCCCTCCTAACACTGTTCACAAATATGACTGTTCAGAAAAAAGGTTCAGCTAAATTGAGGATGGTTTAGGGCGCAGTTTTGTCAAAAAAAAAAGGCTGAACTTTGTTTAAATAAGCGGCTCTCTATGTCTGGTAAATGAAACTGGGAATTAGAAAAGGGAAAAAATCCCGCACGATTGCTGAAAAAAGCCCAAATGTTTACGTCACGTCGACAGCTCTCTGCAAAATGGAAGTACGTTTGATGTTCTTGAAATCGTGTAGTTTTGTCCAGGAAAGTATCCCAGACACCTTAGTATCGTTCACAGTAGGTATGGTAGTTATGAGGAAAAGAATGTTTCGAACATTTAGGGCTTGGGCAAACATTATCTTTCATGGTTAATACTTTAGAAATAAATGGTAAAACGAAAGGACAGATGGTTTTCACATGTAAATAACTTATTATTCATCTCTTGTATCGAGGAATGAGTCGAAACGCTTGGTAGAAATTTCTGCCTCGCAAATTCCTCAGTAGTTAAAAGGCTGATTTGTCATCGACCATACAAGCTTATTTCTTAGGTTTCAAGTTTAGAGTAGGTTTATAAAGACCCCTGACACCATATCGAAACATAAGTTTTTATAATTAAGTAGAAAGTGTTGTTGGATTCATGTGTTTCATACCTACCAGCTGTTTTGGTGTAGTCTGTACTCTCTCTCTCTCTCCTTCTTTTCGGCGAAGGTGCGAACCGTGACAGTCGTAGGGCACGTCCGCAGTTTTATACGCCCTACTACTGAGGTCATAGGATTGGGAGAATCTAGGAATTTTCTAAAGGCACTATCTGATTGAAAATCAAATTCTCGTATTCTTGTCTTGATGAGTAAGAAATGACGCAGTGCTCTTCTTTTGAAATCCTGATGAAAAAGAGAACAAAAAGTAATTACAAAGGAAGCATGTATGATTGAATTAAGAGCTAGTGAAATGGAAGAATAGGTGCAATTAGTAAAGAAAATTATAGCTTCAAACAACATATTGTTTGAAGATATTGTTTTTACATTTTTAAATAACGTAGAGGCAAAGTAAAATAAGCTGATTAAAGAAGATGAATGTCATTAGGAAAATGAATGACAATTTTCGAGTTTTTAATAAATGTGACTACAAAGAGTTATAAGCGTGATTAATTTACAATGGTTTGTTAACATTTATGATATGCGCAATTTAGCGCAAGTAAGGGGAAGCATTGTTTGAATAAAAACAATGGTTTACAAGGCATGGTATGACAAAGCAGAAATGATGATAACAATTATCAATTGATGAAAAGAGAAGTAGAAAAACGCAACTCAAAAAAGCTACATATGAGAATTTACTGAAATAAGTGACCGTGATATCTAGTGGGACTTAGGTTTAACCAATAAACAAGACACCTTTTGAAAAGCGCAGCAAGTTCTATCTAGATACAAGGCACGTCACCTTTATAAAGCCAGTAAATAATGATCATGATCAAAGACTCCACCTGTTTGATCACTCAAAGTGCTTGTGACACGACATTTTTTTTTGCGTAAATATTAAGCTTATCATATGTACAAACCAATTCCGATAGAAGAAAAATTTCAAAAAACTTGAAAATCGGTTTTTTCGGGCCCTAAAGTGCTCTCATTTTGTCCTATAAGTGTCCCGTGGACTGGTAACGAATTAGCAGGTGATGACGTAGAAAACTCTCAGTTGACACTTACAAATCTCTCACATCTCGTGTAATTTTGTATCAGTCAGTGCTGAAATACTCTTGAAATAATGTCCAATAGCTATGTATACCTACCTTCAGCAAGCTCTACCGAGAGTTGTGATACTCTCACGGTACGTTTTCAACTCAGTTGTTAACTCTAAACCCTGTTATACCCTCACACCGACGCAGCTCCACAGTTTGCCATATGACCCCTTTCGCTCAATGGAAAATAACTGGCATCAGAGTTGTAAATGAATAATTCGTATGCATCGACTTTCACACAAAACTTGGATTCGCTGCGATCTAATTCAATAAAATTTGTGTTTCTTTATCTATCTCGAGCTCGTTGCAGTGCTGTTCTAACAATGACATTGCTACTTTTGGTATCTTGAGGACGGGGGGGATGGATGGTTCGTGGGATGGATTTTCAGAAACCTAGGTGAGGAAAGTTTGGTGATTCACGTTGTAATTTTGCAGAGGACAGCTAAGAAATGCATACATTTTAAAACACACCTGCCGAGCTATTGTTCTGCCCATATGCATTAGTTAGATATTTTGTTTTGCCACGTCGTCATGGCCGTCGTGGTTTGCTTATGGCCCTAAATGACTTGTAGGTGAACCCAACGGATGCATGGCGGTCATGAATAAAAAATAGGACAACACGAAAGATTAGATAATTGGGTTATTTCGAAAACTCTATTTTGAAGCAGTAGGTGATCAAAGAGGGTCCTTTAGGGGTATTTTCTTAATTCAATATTAACTGATTTCATTTTCAGAGAGATAAAATTGAGATGAATTATTCTACATGGTCAGTGCTGGACTAAACGATTTGCATGAAAAGTGAAGAACTTATATGAATAAAGTGATTTTACCACTTATTCCACGTCATATTTAGTCGTGATTCCTTCGAAATATCAGTTTTGTAGGTCAATGAAAACACTGAAATCATTAGTAAAAGTTTGCATGATATGGCCATTGTTCATCCACTGAGCTTAGTTTTGCCAGCTCCCATGTAAAAAGAACACCAGACGGCCTTTAATTTGCTTCCCTGCATGAGCACCATTTCTTTGGCTCGCTTTTGCTGAGAGCCTCAACAAATGTTCAAATGTTTTAAAAAGTTAAACGAAATAAAGAAAAATTTTATTTCACTGATCTCACAAAAGAGCACCAAAATGATTTTTTTAGTCTTTTTGCTATTGTTAACGATAACAAAGGGGGAAATAAGGGAGAAAAAAAGATTGTTTAGGGGTTAAAACGATTATTTTAATATAAATGCACTTGCCAAATGATGCAATTACAACGTTATATCAGGAAACCAACCAAGTTGACTGACAGTTTGATTACGGGTTGTTACTGAGTCCTATTTACCAGATCTTATAATTCCAGTACTACGCAACTTCTACGCAACACGCCATGGCCGTGTGTTGAGCGATCCAAAATTTGATTATTTTTTCGTTTTTTAGACCTAACTTGTTAAGAAACGATCTTTAAGCGCATCCAATCTTTTGTTCTGTGTTGCTTTCGTCTTCTGCGCACGCTCTATGCAATCGATAAGATGCTCAGATGAATTCGTAAGAAATATTTCGTCAACAAACAGTTAAAATACTATAGGTAATAAAATAACAATGGAATAATAAATCCCTTATTTAATCCATTTTACACTTTCCTCTTGGCAATAAACTTCCATGCTCCAAGGAGAAAGAAAGTTGTTGGTGACAAGTGAGACCTTTCAATTATGGTGATAAACATTTGTGGTTGTGAATATCATTGGAAAGAAAGAGGGTTGTTGAGGATAGATAGATAGATAGATTTATTCTGAAAGATTCTGAAAATATACCTAAAAGAAAACCATGTGGTTTAGAGACGGAAAAAGTAAACTTTTAGACCTCTTCACTTTTCGGGAAAAAGGCAGGAATTTATGGTGAAAACCAAAAACAAAAAGGTGTAAACATTTCCTTTTGATGTTATTCGGCCAATGTTTTTATTGTCCTTATCAGAGAGATTCGTCTCGCGAAGTGTCGAAAGTCCTGTTTGAAGTGCCGCTTACAAGCAAGTGCTAAGCGAGCAGTGTTTGGAACCCTTACCATAAAATATTTCTTAATTAAAGAAGACGTCATTCAAAAAGGTTCTTTTCGCTTCAGAAATTCCGTTTCACGGCGTTAATTTTAAAATTCGATTTATTTCACTTTATTGAAATGATTTTTTAGGAAGCTATCCTTTTTCTGACGCGCTCCTCTCTTTATCGCTGACCGTTTAAAGTATATGTATCTATAGCACTATCCGAGACCACTATCGAAGAAGGAAAATTTTAGGAAGCGACTTGTACCAAAGTGCTTTTGACACTAATTCTCAACAATGTCTTTTTTGCTTAATTTTTTTTACTTTTCATTGTTTTATTCCCGTGTTATGGAAAGAATAACTAAATGAGTTCAATACAAATCTCTTTTTCTTCAGTTGTACAGATACGAATCAATGTCATTGATTAAGTACACTGTAAGTAAAACGGTAATAGATATAGGTTAAAAGAAGCAAAACAAACTGTATCAGTGCCAGAATTCTCAAGGACAGATCATGAATTTGAAATGTAAGTAAGTACGGAAAAAGCAATAAAAGAAGTTTGAAAAAAAGGTTGGGTAAATGATGTCTCATAACTAAGAATCGTAAGTTTTCTAAATGTAGAAAAGTGGGCAATCTTTCATCTAGTGCTTAGTTTCAAATCAAAATTCATGTTGGTGTCGTATTGTCACTAGTGTGAGGATTTCACTGCAATAAGTACATCGTCTATTGTAATAGGGTGTACTGTACGAGTTGTAAACATCTTACACAAGGTTATTACAAGTGCTTCGTTAAAGAAAAAGGAAAGCAAACTTGACAATTATTTTTTCACATCCAGGGTGCGTTTTGACTTATTCAGACTGCACTGAGTAAGATGTTAAAAGAAAAAAATTGAATCACGGCTTAAAGCTGGCAATAAGTGAATGATAATACATTTGGCTTTGTGACTAACAGACTAAAATGAAAATAGCCTTCTGTAAACTGAAAAGAAGGCTTGGTGGCCGATAGGAGTTCACTTGCTGAAGTTACGAGTTTCACGCAGATTGAGGTGATTAATAAATATAAAATAGCCATGAGCTTTCGGAAGCTTTCCTGTGACTATAAAAGGATGGAAACAATGTGCGGGAAAAGGTGTAAAAAGTTAAAAATAGCGAATGACATGCACAAAGTTAACAAGGAGATTTTTTATGCTAAATGAGCGTCGAAGATCTGAGTGTTTTTAGAATGTAAAACCTAAGTAAGTTTAAAAGAGAAAACTCATTTATTTCATCGATTGTTATTAAATAGTGCTGATTATCAATCAAGGAACGATCCATCATAAATCAAAGTGCAAATACATTTTTACTCCAACGCAGTACTTTAAGATTATAAAGAATTGGAGATACCTAATTTTCAGTTTAATTTTATTTCGTTTTCTCCGCCTGTCATTCCGTCGTCACCTCAAAGAATGTACATTTCAAGGAAGTTCACCGCATAATGACTTGATTTATTATCTCATTAATACTGGTTCAGCAAATAATGTATAAGAATTAATTAAGGTGTAAAGGATTTTCTTGTACACTGGAGACGTTTTTCCGAAAAGGCCTAACTCGTGGTTGACAAGCTTCAAGGTGAGTTTAGACAGAGGGCTGTGATTTTACCTCTTAAAAAACCCACTACAACTAGATTTTAAGTTGCTACCTTAGCAAAAGAAATCACTTCTACTAAAGAAGTTAGCAATTCGTGGGAATTGATTCTGATTTGCCTGAGAACTGACTCATCACTTATCATTGTGGCCTGATCTTAAACGTAAGTCGACTGACGTTAAACTTTGGGATATCTATTTTTTCATGGATAATGTTCATAGAATCGTCAAATAGGAATATACAACCATGAACATTTGGTCGAAATAACGAAGAGGTCGGCTAAAAGTCCTCGTGAAACTTGCACAGATAAGTCAGGACTTTCAACGTGATGATGCCGGATAAATTTCTTTGG